GCATCAGCCCTCAAACACCGCGTCTGACAAATGCGACGACGACCCGTTAATGATAAAAAAAAAACGGAAAAACGAGACGAAAGACGTGCTCCAATTGCCTCAAAGTTCGAACCCAGCCCAACCGAGATCCCGTAACATTGAACCGTACTGGACATAATCCTATGCATGACCACCAAAGTGAAGAAAACGCAACTCGGGATTTTTTCGGGATTATTTGCTCCAGGTCAGTCGCCGACGGTGAAAATGCGGGGACTGGTCTGGGCCCTCTTTTTGTGCCTTGCGACGGATTTCTCCCAGGCCAACAGAATGCGAATGGGTGAGACTGGTTCGGTTCTTTCCAAGGTAGTACTAGTTCGGGACCCCGAAAAAAGTACTGTTAAGTACTGTTAAGACGTGGCTCGTTTGCACGCAGTTCTTGGTCTGCGGCATCCTATCGATCTTTCGGCAAGTACTTTTCAGCACTTATTTATTCAGTATTCACTATTCAGTACACTACACAGTACATTATTCAGTACTTTTCAGCACTTATTAGGTATTTGTTACCCTCGAAAAACGATTTAAAGGTCGGACGAGTGCAAACACGCCTCATCTGTCGTGTTTTTATCAGTACTTCCGTGGAAGTACCAGTACTTCCGTGGAAGTACCAGTACTTCCGTGGATGTACCAGTACTTCCGTGGAGTACCAGTACTTTCCCTGCGAGGAGCTCGGTATTCGAGATCCCAAAAATGCACACTCCAAGAATGTGACAATTCCAGGAAGTACTTCTAGGAAGTACTAGGGGAAATAAATCTCACGAATAAGCACTGCCGTGCATTTTCATTTCGAAGAAATTATTTCGTCTGCATAATTTCAATACTTTTCTTTTTTTTTGTCTGCTTTTCTTTACACCGAGTTCTTCCTTGAAGGAAGACGAGAATCTCGAATGACGGTTTGCCTCGGGGGAAGCGAGACAAATGACAAAGAACGGAAATGTCAATGCCAAAATGGCCATCAGCTGTAATGGCTCACGATTCGGTCACGAGATCGAGAAGACGTGACTAAAATGTTGGCAGTTGGATCACCTTCCGACGACCGTCGTCGTCGTCGTCACGACGGCAATCACCGAAACCTGCCTGGTTAAAGGGGCCTCACGGTTAAAGGGCTACGGTTAAAGGGCTATAGCGACCGTAATGACGACATCCTTCAGCCCACTTGGGTCGTATTTATTCTCCCATTGGAAATTTCGTCGGTGCCTGTGACATGGCACTTGTGACATGGCACCTGTGACGTGGCACCTTTTGACGTTTGTTATGAATGTGAGATGTCATGTGATAAGCGTTTGAGTTATATATTTCGGGTGATGTCCTTCGGCTATTTACAGCAGATTCTTTTATTAATAGGGATTTCTTTATAAGCGTCGCCGAGGCTTTTTGATGCAAGAGGCTGAAAGGGAATTCGTCCGTGATAAAGACGTAGGCGTTCGCGTTCGCGTTCTAAATCGCTGCGTGGGCATTCTGGAATGTATGGGCGGACGCGAGTCATATAGGAGTCGTTCGAGAGCATATTTTATCCGCAACCGTCAAGATGCAATGGTCCGGGAACACGCAGTTCCCCCTCGAGACAACGATGGCCCCAGACAGCGATGGCCCGAGACAACGATGGCCCCAGACAACGATGGCCCGTGCGATACCCCGACTGAGAGGGGAAAAAAAAATCGCAGCCAGCGGCGAAGGCTTCCGTGCCCCGTAACTGTTACCGAGTTCAATCTCCTGCCTTTTCCCTCTTGCTCGTCGAGGGCCTCGCACCTTTCGTTCGGGCTTTTACGAATATCGAGCGAATATCTACGAGTTCGCTTTCACCGATCGCAAAAAAACGCGGAATCGACAAGCCCATCGGCCCCGACCGAGGAAGCCTGTATCGGTCGCACCGACTTTTATCGCCTCGGGTCGTATCGAGTTCATCTTTCGATACTCGGAGATGGACTGCCGAGCGCGTCCATTGGCTCTCTGTAATACGGATCGGACGTGTTATCCTACTATGGGTACTTTCTATGGCCTGGATAGGGGTAATCTACATTCGTGTACTGGAAGTCGTTCGTGGTGGCCACTTCCATTGCTCGGTCGGTACTGAGACGACCGAGCAATCATCGAGAAAATTGTTCCCAGAGATGGAGGTCAGTAGAAGCAGAAACATATTTTAACGGGAAAATATTAACTAAGGGTGCTGAGAGACACCGAATTAAATTCGATTAATTGTGGATCGTTTCGATTGATTTTTTTGTAGCCGCAAACATTTGGAAATCCTTGGATGAGACGACAAATTTGATCACGGGAGGGACATCACAAGCGCAACATATAAAATTTCCTTCGATTAATTATTTATTAATTATATAATAAATTTTTCCAGGAGGGGTGACGGCTGGAGGAGGGGATTTGGTGGACAGGCAAGGGGTTGCGGCGTATGGAGCGAGGAGGCCAGGGGCCGCTCCGCCGCACCCTGGGACGCAGGCGCCGCAGCAGTTTCCGCGACGGCCGGGGCAGCCGCGGAACCCGAATGGGATGGCGTCCAATCCCTACCCGGTGGTCGCGAACAGGAACGACTACTTTTCCTCCAGTGGGGGGCAAGTGGAGGGGCATTTTACTTCCGCGGCGTTTTTGACTAATATGGTCTTAATTAAGGAAGTTGTAAAAAAAAAAGACTAATTAGCTTGCCCTTCGGGCAAGCAAGCCCTGCGGACGCTAGCTGTGTCACGTGACTGAAGTGACATAAGCGGGGAATATGGCTAAAATCAGAATCGATTCGGCAAGTTCGCTCACCTCTCGGGTCACTTCAGTCTCCCCTTTAAAAAAGAAATGTTAGCTGCAACCAGACGAAAGGGTGCCCAACTGAACGTGATTTTTATATAAATTTCGTGTGACTCCGTTTACACGCGATAGGAAAACTGGGTAATAATCCACTCAATCACAGAGACATATGAGTATATATATCAGCATCACCCAGTATTTACTTCGGTTTCGAACACGGAATCGGAATGATCAAGGTGGACGATTAATGCATAAGAATGCTGAAATCTTCCGCTGCGACAGAGAGACCACATCACGACGAGGGCTGCGAAGCTAGAACAAAAATTCTGTCAGGTCCTAAATGGTGAAGCTGTAAATTATTACTGACTTAGGGTGCATGCACTACAGGTCAGAACAATTCTACAAACCCTATTCTTGCTATTTTCGTTCTGCGACACGAACCGAGGACAGGAGAACGGTATTCCATCGGTTATCGCTATCAGCCCGTAGAGGTCAACGGCACTTTTTTTTGCGACAGCGAAAAGATTCGCTTGTTTGCCTGCTTGCGGGAGTAAAACAGCTTTGTAAATATGGTACGAGCCCAGCCCGACCCGAGGACCGTTTCTTAGGTTAGCCCAGGGCATATTTTAACGTGCCCTGGGCTAACAACAGATATGTGCAGTTCAAAACTGGGCAAGAATTACATTTTGAAACAAAAATAACTCTGACATTAATGCGATAACCAAACTATTTTAAATTATCACTGCGTTCCTGACTTAAAAATGGTGATGAATCTAATTTTCTTCCCAAACTTTGGCGCAGGGGGAAGGAGCGGGAGCGCTTAGTGCTGTACCAATGGTTTCTACAGAGGGGACTCCTACATTTGTGCTGCTCTGATTTTTTTAAATTATAAATATACCATAGGTTAGCCTGTTATATCGTATGCAGTAATGCTTGTTTCTTTACCAACGCGGAACGGAGAAAACCGAGGGTGGCTCATTTTTCTCGTTCCGCCAATTTTGAAAAGCAAATGGTAGGATGACCGATGATAAAACACGCATGAAACAAAGAAACCATTGGGAGACAATCGACATCACTTCGTCCTCCTGGGTGAGCCACTTGGGACAACTAATCGAACATGTTTTTTTTTTTTTTCCAGATATGGCAACAAGGAATCCTTGGCGGTGCAAGCGCTATCATTACTCGCTTTCCTCTACTTCTTGCAACAAATGCAGGTTTGGTTGCCGACTCATTGACATCTTCCTGTTCGGAGCTCCTGGAACTCTGAGCCCACAAAAAAACGAATTAAATTAATTAATTAAATTAATTGTAAAATATTACTGGAATCGCAGACCCTCTTGGCGACGAACCTGACGGGCCGGCGGCGCCGAGACGCGAGCGACACGGGGGAGCGCTCCCTGCTGGAGGTCTTCCAGTTCGGGATCCCCGTTCTCAGCAGCTACTGGGATTACATCATGAACCAGGGCGATCCCGGCGGGGCGGATCAGTGCTTCCAGCGCTCTCTCTGCGATACCAACTATCAGTTCCTTAACGGGAACGAGGGGGACATGGCGTCTTACATCGCCGCTTCCGTTCTCAGGTAATTAATTCGATTCAGAACAGCTTCCCGCTGGACTCAGCAGGTGATTGACGGTCGAGTAATGTGCTAAACTACAAATAAACGTACAAAATCTTACAGGGTTTTACAACTTACAGGGTTTTAGGTCGAGTTTCAATATGCCGGAAAACATTCAGAAAGTTCCACAAGTCTCACTTTCACACTGTGAAGTCATTTACCGTTGGGAGCCTTCTCACTTTAATCGTCCCTCATTCACAAATGCAAGAACGAGGGAGTCAAGTGAGAAGACTCCCACTTGAAAAAAAGATATTCACAATGTCTATATTTTTTCAGCGACGTCGTGAGAAATTGGCTGTTTGGATCCGATAAAATAACGACACGCAGCTTCGACGAAAGCAGGGTGAGGAAATCGTGCGCCCTACGGTATTCAGACTGTCAACCAAGCCAGCAGAAACTGCTGGACACAGTGAAGACCTTCGCTTCCGCCCTAGCAGCATATGTCTACAACTTGTTCACGTTCTCATGGGAATGATTTTTTTCTCACCCGCTTTCAATCACGTCATTCGGCAGCTAGAATAAATTAAATTCACGGACGAGAAGAAAATCCATAATCATTTGGAATCCTCACTTTTGTCACATGGGATCTGTGCAAATGGAGGGCAGTGTATTTTCTTTTATGCAGATAACTGAAGTTCCTAGCATAACCCACAGAACATTGAACAAATCACTTCAAATGCCATTAAAATCCAATTTCAATGGCTTCATCACTCATGTTTTTCATCAATGAATAAACAGACTAAAAACTTAATACTCTCCATGCACGTACAAACAGGCAATTGAGAATGTACACACCATGCATTTCAACTGCACCAGGTGGATATCAGACGATACTGGAAATCTAGGTGACCCATTGAGGTCAGATGTATTTGGTCTTGGTGAGGGCAGAACTTCCCAAAGTTGGGTCTGTCATGCGTGACCAGTCGGTCTGTCCGATGACAAAGCCCAGATCTCTCATCCTTTTCTGTTCCCTCCTCTCCTCAATGTCAGCCCATCTCACCTGGATGACAAAATAAATAAAAATCAGAAAGGAAAACTGAGGGAAATATTGGAATCTATTGCTTTAATATTGTCAGGCAAAACACAATTATTTAACCAATGGCAGTTACATTCAGCACGCAAACAAAAATGGAGCTAAATGCTGACTAGCACCATTTATAATGAAAAATTGGTCCAAGTATGCGATTGATGGAGGCAGAGTTGGGAGATCGGTAGGGGGCAGTGGACCTCTACATCTCATTAAAACTTGCACAGTTTTTTCATCGAAAGAGGGTCCAATGCTGAAGAATGCTTCTCCTACTTACTTTTACTTGTTTCATGGAACAAAAGGTGATATTTAATTATTCGATGTATGTGGATAAGGGAAATGGCCAACTGTATGTTACATTGAAAGAGATATATTCCTGCACTTGATGGATAACAAGAATAAATGTTATAGGTTAAATAACAAATGTGCTTCTCAAACAATAATATTGAGATTTCACTTCAGCACTTCATGGATGTATCAAAGGGTTGATGGCATTTGAACATGCAAGTAAAAACAAATGTCAAAAGTTAGTTTTCACCACTTTAGCTCCAAAAATGCACAGGTGGGCATCACAGGCCTTTCAAATGCCTTTTCCTTCCCAGGGGTTTTCAAACCCTTTGAAATGTATAAAAGAGCAACCTATTTTCCATTACTCAAGAAAAAACTGCCACTCCAACTGATAGGTTGAATATATATATACATTAAACATTGTTGATCAAGAATGACATTACATAGAATGTTGTTGGAATCAACGCCTACAGTCATATTCAACAAAGGTTACAAAACAATTAGCTTAATAGCACATATATTCAGTCCTTAAAGGTCTCTTAGACATGGAAAGATCGTGAGGAACTACGGGACTTCAAGTGCCTGGAACTGATGCAGTTAAAGGGACAAAGTACACAAATTCATAAAACCCAAATTAAGATACAGGAAACCTGAATCTTGAAAAAGGGCTTTATGCTCAATGAATGAACTCAGGTAAAGCATTTTTAAATAGCATACTTGCAAAAGTCACAAAAGGGCCTTTCCAATATGGTCTTTAAAAACTTATGCTGGAGTAATTATCAATCTTTCTTTCATAAGAAACAAAAGGATTCATTACTTATTGCACCTACCCATGCAAAAGAACTTATAATGGAAAAAGCAAAACTTACCCTTTTCTTCCCTGGCTTAGATGTTCGCATCTCGTAATCATCTGGAAGCTGGAGCCAATCTTCAAGACTCTGTGGCTTCTCATGGGACTTTAGTTTATGCAGGCTTAACCCATCCAAGATATCTATAGTAAAAAAATAATATGCATATGAAATGTCTGCACATGTATATGGAATTCATGAAAAAAAAAGGACTTTGAGTTTCACGATTCTAAGTTTTCTGATTCTAAGTTTATCTTGAAAGCACAAGAGAAGTGGAATAAATCTGATACTTACCGAGACGCTTTCCTGTCATCTCCATGTTGTCCCACTTGCTCTTGAACTGGCCAAGATCCTAGGAACAGACTCATGGACTCATCATGCAAGAAAACACTAAAACTGAAGCCTAATCGGACTTTTCTCTTTCTTTTCCTTCGCTTTCATACGCAAGGGGAGACAATAGACAGCGGAAGTTGACATTGCATCCTCAGGATACAATTTTTTCTCGAGCATCGACATAACACGCTGAATCACTTGTGTCTTTTGCTGCTTTTGCAGGGAATGTAGTCTGAAAGTGTATGCACACCAACCTTCCCCTTTATCAATACATAGGAGAAACACATGGTGTGGTCCCAAGTGTAAATGAGAAGACAAGTTCCTAACTTATACTATGGGGCATCAAAGGGGAAAGTCAACGTGGTGTGCAAAACAGACTCTAAGCAATAATGTGTGAGATCAGGATGTAGAAACATGCAGGTCTTTTATATGCTATAGACTCACCGCTGACTCGTCTTCTTTCCCTCCATCATCTTCCTCTTCTTTGTCTGGCTTCTTTGAATCTACATCATCATTGTGCTCTGTCATCTCAACCTGTTAAATTTCAACGGTAAATGAAATCTGGCAATAGTCAAATCCAAAAGCAAAGCCTCCTTTAAGTGGATCTCATGGGTAGAATAAAATGTGATAAAGAAATTAGATAATTCTTTGCTGTACTCATTCACTTTGTCAAAATTACAAAGGTAAAGATGTTCAAATGATAATATTCAGTGGTTTTCCATTCAGATTTTCTAGCATTGATCAATCAAGCAAGTCTTGATTAATGACAATGATTTATGGTGCCAACATAAAATCTAAACACTGATGGATGAATATGATCAGGATCCTTCTCAGTAAAAAGCCTGCTAAAATTATTAGATGGTTTGAAAGTAGAGTGAAAAAGTTTGACCTCTTGAATAGCATCCGCCTGCAAGAGTGAGCGAACATCAAGACGGAGATAGTATGAGGGGGCCTCTTCCCAAGATCTGGCCATGGCCTCAATGTCCTTTGGAGATCGCTGGTGTGGGTTTCTTTTCTTGCACAGTGTGAGATCATTCTCCATCTCGGCAATATACACCTAAGGCAAGCAATTCACAACATCTTTAGGACAAAGTGTCTCTTTCATGTAAGTGATGGTTATATTCCACCCAACTCACCTCAAACCCCTTCTGCTTCGCATGGGACCACATGGTGTCAAAATGAGAAACTTTGTTATTGACTGAGTCCACAATGATAATATTGAAGAATTTGTCATCTATCTGCTTTCGAAAGGAACGTTTGAGGCTGGCTCTATATTCCTCCTCCATCTCTGCTTCATACTCATACTGCATCTTCTGTTCAAACAATAACAAATAATGCAGGTTGAGAGAAGCATGACAATTTCTTCCATTGTTCATTCAATTCTGTGGAATCAGCACTGAAGAGCTTGACATACCTTACATCAATGTGTACATATGATATCCTATAAATCAGCAAACAATTTCAAGGCAAAAGTAGAAAAGTATTCAAACTTGGAACTTGGATTTTCAATCATGCAGAGCATGAAACTTTTCAAAGCAAGAATTATGATAGTCTCTTGGCTAAAAAAAAGAAGTTGGGATACTTTTAACTGTGGTCAGAGTGTATGATAGACATGTGTAAAGAGAATACGATACCTTCTAAAAGTTTGATAGATTTCATCATCTCCAAAAACTACAGAAGAAACAGTGATGAAAAATAACTTATCCTACTTGGAAGGGTAAAAATTCAATGCATGAGAAAAAAGTTACATCATGACGTGACGGGAATCATACGAGAAACTGCAGGCAGACTTTCCACTAGACTACCCAGATTAATTTAAATTAAAAAAAAACTTGTATTCAAAATTCTATAAGATATAAAATACAGTACCGTTATATGGCTATAAGATATTCAGCATAACCACCAGGCCTGTACTTCAGATACACTTAGGTAGAGGGGAGACATATTTCATCAGGCCTTGACTTTTTCTGCAGTCTGAGATGTAAAAAGAAACTAGCTGTATTGAGGCAAGCTTTGGAAGAAATACAGTACTAAACAGGATACTCCAGATGGAGTTATTGCTTCCTCCAGAACAATGTTCATCAGTCAGGCAAAATTTATTCTGATGAGTCATATTTTAGCCAAAAAATAATCATGTTATTTTTCTTCATGTCAATTTTAGTCAGGAGCACAAATGTTTAATTCAATCAAGTCAAAACTTCATTAACAAGAGGCTTATATTTATCATTTATTTTATATTTATCATAGTATCATTATTATTACACATTGCTTTTCAGCCACATTGCAGCCATACCTGATTTGCGAGGACTCATTTCTGGTCAGTTTTAGTCATACGATGAGTTAAAAAAAAGGGCAGAGAACTAATCACTTTCATGCATTACTAAAGCAGCAATGGGTTGCATTTCATTCATGTTCAGATCAACTTCACATTTACTTGATCTCCATAGGGCACGCCAACTCCATGCAAAAATTTAATTGAATTAAGAGGAAAATTTTCCCTTCACCTGATATCATCAATGGGGTGCCATATTATCCTTTTGTCCCTTAAGTTCATCATATTACCATAATTGTTACCTCAAGCCAGTAAATTTGACATGGTCACAAACAAATTTATAAATGATTTTGTCAAGGATCTTTTTGTCATTCTTATTGTTAATGTGAATAAAATTGCTCTAAAAATGTGAAAAGAACAAATGTATGGAATCTGGTTTTTCAGGAATGAAAGGAGCATTTCAACATTATTGAATATTTGAGCACATCAACATGTACTTCAAAGGAGATGCAAGTTTCACCAACAAAGAAAATCCTTCATACCAAGTTTCCTCTTGGATACTGCCTCTTTAGGCATGATTAGTTAATTACAAGCTGGCAGTTGCAAACATAAGCCTTTCTTTCATTCAGACTATATCATTCCACATGGAATTTCCCAACTTCTTCCATATTTCACGAGTAAATCCTCAGTCTTCTTCAGTTTTGATTGACACTGGCTTATTTTTTTGCTTTTACCAGCATAAAAATAATAAATGAAAATAGCTCACTTTCTTTTTGACCTTTTTGCCATTGTCATCAACCTCTGTGACTTCAACTTCTGTCATGAAGTAATCATCCAGACATAGAATCCGAGGAGCAGTTCCACCCTGTTCCACCTCCTTCTCCTGAACAATTGAGCTAGTTATTGAATCACAACACCACTACAGAGTAGAAACTATGGAACAAACCCAGACAGAAACGGTACCTTGATCAGGCGGGTGACATAGCTCTTCCCAGAACCAGGGAGGCCACGAAGAATGACAACAAGGTAAGGTGGTCGATTTTTCCGTCCTGGAGGAACTAAGAGGTCATCGATGAGAATTGCTTCTGGCTTGGGAGCTACAAGATCAATGGCAGGTGGAGGAGGTGGTCGGGGTGGTGTAGGGCTTGGTGTCCTGTCACAATCATATAATGGATCGTAAACACCAAGGACAATAGGAAGCTAGAGAGTTACTACATTGGCCCCTTCAAAACCTAAATGCATCATAAATTGAAATTAAATATATTTCCCCAAAATTCTCACCACAGATGTTCCTATGTAGGATAAAAGTATAACCAGTTCTGGAGAAATGCAGTACTTGGAAAACACACTTTTCTGCCTTATTGAAGTCTCTAAATATAGGCAAGCTCCTATAATAACCTTTTCTGAACCTTGCCAATGAGCACTAAACATGTGAAATACATTATTTGCATGGATATATATACCATTCCATCTATCCTTACAAAAAATGGGTGTGTAGAAAAGTCCACCCCTGAAGAAAATCATCACTTTTGATTTATTTTTCACTCATTCAGGCATATTTGGTTCCATGCAGGAAGAAATTAGGCTTATATATACACAAAAAAAGCAATTCTGTCTTTTCTTTCCAATGGAGAGAGAAGTACATGCATTAAGGGAAGCTAGCTTGATTGGACACTGCCAAAAATGTTCCTAGCATAATTATGTTCATTATCAGAGAAAGTGGCTTTGTATTTTTATGTTCTGATAGGTTCAATGAGGGCCAAAGACATTTGAACATATCCTTTGAGATAGACATGTTAAAAAATTTGTCCTTTACCGTAATGAGGTAGAGGGTCTCCCTTTGTCCCAGTCTTTTTCTTGTTCCCAATCACGGTCCCATTTCCGCTCTCGTTCAGGATTCCATCCCCATCGGCGTTCTGGTTCTACGGAACGTCTTCTTGACTGACCCCCTCTCCAATTTCGTTCTCCATCTACAAAAGCCAAACCATTCCAACATACTCCTCATTATCTTTGAAAACAATTTATGAACTGATATGAAAGATTTTCGGTTCTTTCCTAGAAAGAGAGAACATCAGCATTGATTAACTTCCAGCTAGCAGTAGCAATTGAAAAAATGGCTGTAATGATTGGTTGAGGGGTGGGGTTAAGGGTGGAAAAAGGCTGTCAACCTTATTGTTATACTCCATTAAAAGGAGCCCTTTTGTCATTATGAATGAGGGATGGCATTTCCTTTGTCCATGGGTGAGTAAAAATAACTTAGCTCTTCTTTGGCTTTTTGAGAAGTGAACAAATTTTGGGTACTGCAGGGTAAACAACAGCACAGATTTAGATCAAATTTGGCATTGAAGTGCCCCTTGAACCAAAATGTAGAAACCTACACTTTTGGGAGTCAGGGTCAATTCAAAATTCATGCTAGGTGACTGAAGGCCAACAAAAAACGAAAGATAAGAAAATTGTCTCCAATTTTAGTCTGCTCTGAGATTCTGTAATTAGGTGAGGGAGAGGCCTATAACAAATTTGGTTAAAATCTGATATTGCTCAATTTTCAAAATGTGGCAGATAAATTATATGAAATACCCCTTCAATATGTTGCTCTTGTTCTGATGTGGTAGTGGTGATAACTTCTCACTTTCCCTCATCCACATCTCTCTTTTTCTGTATGCTGTTTTTTCCCAAGCAATCAGTGTCAAAATGACTTTGAATCAAAAAGAATAATAATAATAATAAAGGCATGAAACTCACAGTAAATGACAGAATGCTAGCCAAAATTATTTTCACAAACACAGTACATAATCTTAACCAGAAATCTGGCTCCGATTCAAGAAGAAACAAAGGCTGAGAAGGAAACTTTTCAATTACCCCTCATAAATGATCAAGGAGCCATATAAAATATGCATGTGAGAATAACTGAAATAAAGATGCAACAGTAATCAGTACATCACTTGGTATTGAAATGAAAAAATGACTCTATACCATCACCTGACCCTGCTAACCTCATATTCTAAGTAGATTCTATTGTCTTCTATTAATATTCTTCTGCATCCATCACGATTAGCATTAGCAAATGATTTGCCCCTCCTGCAATAGAAATATTAGAAAAGGACTGCACAACATACACGGAGGCATATCACGCTGATCGAAAGGAGATCGATCTCTCTCCCAATGTCGATCATCAAACAAATGGTCCTTGCCAGGACAATCACGATTCAGCATGGGTTCGGGAGGCCCACGACGTTCGTATAGCCCTCGTGAGCTTGCATCGACCGAAGTCATGGCATGCCCATAATCCACAACAGAATGCCCATAGTCAACCACTTCTTCAGCATCACCCGGGAAGGACAAGTCCATACCCCCCCTGTCAAGATGAAGAGAATGGAAATGGTTCGGACTGAGAACTGATTGGATAAAGGAAGAGAACAATGAATAAACTTCCCTGTTACTTGAGGAACAGTCATTGTTAAATTTCAAAGACCCATCAATGTCATGTTTCAACTTGGTTTCAGCATTTTTATTCCAATTCCCCAAAACAAGGATGCATGGAAAAATGAATGTTTCAAGAAAACATGCATAGAACCAGATAAAGACAGGAAAACAGCAGATATGAGCAATGTCCTTTAAAAAACTTTGTTCCATCACATGTTGTGATATTCAGTCAGAGCAGATGCGGGTTTTGTGCCTTTACCTGTAGGGGTCATGAGGTGGTCCAAATGGTTCTCTCCGATATTGATCCCTGTCTGCAAAAAGGAAGGAGTTCTTTTTTTAAAAATAACCTATAAAAAAAATTTACTTTTTGAAATTTCAAACTAATGACACTGAAGAGTGTTCAAAAAGTCTAAAAACATAGCACATAATATATTTATACATTTTTATAGGTGTGTGATACCTATTAATTAGAAATAATGTCCTTAAAAAAATAGAAATATCACCTATACTTGCACTTGCATTACCACTACTTGCACTTGCACGGACAGCACATTGAACATATATGATTATTAAAAAATAAATAAAATATTAGTTCCTATGTTTCCAGACTTTTTGGACATGGCTTAGAATGAATGAAGCCTTCTGGATGCTCAATGAAACAATTTGTAACATTTTTCAAAGCCAGAATACTACAAGTCAGCAGCTATCCTATTCAAAAAGATCAAACAGAAACTCATACAGGACATCAAAATGCCAATACACCACTGAACTGAAAGGTTATTGATATAACTTAACAATAAACATGGCTTAATACATGGAGAGACTCGGGTTCAAATGCAAAGAAGGTAGAAGCGCAGGCAAGAATAATAAGCAGCAACGTCTATCCAGGCCCTTTTTATGCAGCCCTATTCGGCTTATTCTGCTTAGTATCATGAAATCTCTATGTACTGTGATTGTGGGCACTTCAACGTTGTGTTCCTGTCAGTTATTCCATTCTGTGGTATATTAAATGGTTTGGCCAGGCTTACTTTACTCTCTCAAGATCTTGCAATCAGTAAATATGAAAGATATCTCCAAAAACAGAAGACTGTTCAAAGGAGGCACTCACCAGGATGCTGCCGATGCCTCCATGGGTCAGGTGGCCCATTGAAATCTCGCGGATGATCATGCCTGTTGAAGTCATCATTGAATCCTCTCTCCATTCCTCTAAATTCCCTGGGATGGGGCACAAACTGTTCATCTCTCTCATCATACTGCTTACGCTCCCAACGTGGGCCCCGGCCATCAAAAGGATGTTCTCTTTCCATGCTGGTTCTTTGTCTTCTGGAATCTTCAGGTTCACCTCGACCAAAATGGCCTCCTCTACCACGGAAAGCCATTCCTCGGTACTGCCCATGCCCCTCAAATCTTGACTGCTGCCTTCCTTGATTCAAGGGTGAAATTCTTTCTTCTTCGTTCCTATTTTGGCGCTCAGAGCCATCTTCATTCAATAGTGAGATCTTGGATTCCTGAGCAAGTGACATTAGGCGAGGAACCTTTGAGGGAATCTCTGAGCTGTTCTCTTCAGGTCCCAATTGTGCTCCTGATGTAGGAGTTTCTAGAAGGGGTCGCTTTGTTGCACTTGATGGGATATCTGGTAGCTGAAGCCTTGATTTTGAAGGAGTCTCAAGGAGGGGTAATTTTGAAGGTGTTGCTCCAGAAAGGGTACCCAGAAGCAGGGGCCTTGGAGATGTGACCTGAGAAGAAGTGTCCTGCATAGGGGAGGACATGATTTTTGTTTCTGAAGGATTGCTCAAACCTGCCTGCTCAGATTGCATATTGCTACCATCATCAACAGCAGAAGGTCTGGGCATGCTTTCATCACCCAGACCTGGTATACCCTGTTCAGACTTGCTATTGCTCAGAGGCTCTGGTACATTCAATTCTTCAGCACCTGCAGGTTTTTCAGGCACTGAAGCAAGGGGTGGTTGAAGCAGGGTATTATTCTCATTTGATGTGGCCCAGTCATCAGCTGACATTCTGATATCATCTTCAGTGAAATCATCAATCTCCTTGGCATCACTGCCTTTCATTTGATCAAATCTGTTTTCTGCTGTTTTTAACTCCTCTTGCTTGTGTCCACCCTTACTATTGTCAGGCTTGGTGTCAGTCCCAGGAGTAGATTGCTTTTCCTGCAACATGCAACAAATATTCCTTCATGAAAAAGCTGGTTTCAACAAACCAACTACTGCATAACATTAAATTTCTGGTAGGAGAAAAGTCATCAGGAAATGCAGATGGAACTCACTAATGCATGGACCAATTTATCTTATAAATTAAATCAATGACTTACTGTCTCAGTCTTTTTTTATTTTGCTTTATCAACATCTGCCTTATTTCATCAAGAACATCCCCAGAGAAAGTCCCCTAGTAGCATATAACATAGCATATAACATAGCATATAACATAGCAAACAACCTTGATTCAATGTTGGTTTAACATCCAGATGTTGAATCAACATTGTTTCAATGTTATATGCTACTAGGGTCTATTGCAGGTACCTTGGAAAATGTTAGCCTCTAAATTTTGGTCCACATTCAGTGATACCAATAACTTATGAGAAAAACTGAAGTACCTTCAGGGATAACTCATAGCACTTAAGAAGAATTTGAGATGATCATATACTTACTTTCACAAAGACATTACATCATTTCTAGATCCAAAGAAATGTGCTGCCTCCATGAAGGAAGTCATGAAAACAAGCAAATTTAAGATTCTAGTTCATCTTCTTCTATCTAATCAACTACTGGAAGATGGACATGCTGAATTATTTTAGAGCATGGAGCATAGAGGACAAGAAGGCAGCAGCAGTTACTTAGAAGAATCACAAATGTGTACAGCCATTTATTGAAGAATTATTTCACTTCATGTAGAATGCATGCATTGTGACAAAGATACATTCAGTCCTTACCTTGAGTTTCTCTTCTTCAAGCTCAGGTTTAATCTCCATCAGCATGGACCATCCAGATCTTGCAACAAAAGTCTTTCGCTCCATATTCTAAGACAGAAATGCAGTCAATCCATACAAGATGAGCACAAGTGGTCAAATTTGCAACATTTTGATGCATATACAACAGTAGCAACTCACAATCTTTGCAGAATTGACTGGATGCTCTCCATGATGCCTATCACCTGGGGTCAGGAAGAGAACCACCCATTGGATGGCATTACTAAATGGACACACTTGGAAATCCAGGACATGCATTTTGGTGGATTACTCCCAACAGTTTCATTCTCCAAACCATCACATTTCATGCTAGTATCTGACATGTATCAAATATAAAGAAGTCTGTGCTTGATGCTTCTGGAAGAGGGTTTCCAAGTACTTAAATAACACCCTTCTAATCCATTCAAGGCACATCACTTGCCCCCTACCATGAGTATAGCCTTAATTTTTGGATTCAAAACAACTTGTATCCAGATGAAGCCTTTCAGTTTGTAGAACTAGGCCTTACACATTGCTATTGCTACACATTTACAAAGAGATACTTGCATTTTAAAGATGATTCAAGGAAGTTATTTGGGTTCAGTATTATTTCACTCAGTATGTAACAACAGGCAAGTTCTATTTCATGTCCATCCTTCACCCTTCAAGTGTGTGCACTTCTACCAGCACCCTATGAATTTCACCACTTCTTTAGCAATCACTTCAATCCACAACCACAGCATAGACCAGTTTGGGGAAGTTCATTGTCTTCACATGGAGGGAAAATTCCATTGAAGCAAAGAGCTGATGATGACTGAAAGCAAGGACTCACAAATGAACTTGATAATGCAATACCATTTAGCTGTGATCACAAATGGCAGCATGACAGCAATTGTCGGTGGACAAGGATTGTCAAGCTAAAGGAGAACTTCACAAGATCACTAACCACAGCAGTTACTTATGGTCTGGTCTTCAGTCGTTCATTGAGGACGTACTCTATTATCCCAATATGGGTCACTCTGCTATAATAGTTCATTAGAGTGGAGACCCAATATAAAAAAATCATTAAGAAAGGACTTGGGAAAAGATCATGACAAGTTTGTTCCTAGAAACATGTCTTGTCTGCACAAATGTTGTTCGACAACAGCTAGTATTCAAGATCTTGGCTAGAAGATGCTACCACAGTCAGCCCATTGGTTATTTCTAGCTTAGGAAGATTTTTCTGCTGTTTATGGGAATGAGGAATCCCCTCTCTTCCAAGCATCACACCAACTTGTCCATACTGACTTCTGTTGTGACATAGTGGGTCTAAACATTATGCAGTGAATGACTTTATGCAAAAACTGCAGCAAAAGGGGGACAAAATAGATGTTGCCAGTTATTGCTGATATTGAATTAAAATGGCTAAGAATTTTCAGGACAACACTAGTTTCTTCTCCCTTTGCACCTTAAAGGGGCTATCTGTCAGAGTAAATTTCCTTTTATAAATATTGAGCCATGACAATTTTGCTCATTATGCTATTCCCAGGGACCAATTCCATCCCTCTATCTCTGTCTTCACAAGTGAAGGGTCTTGGTTGACAAATCTCTTACAGATGAGTCTTTTGATAAGTGCAACGTGCATACATAAAAATTGGGCATTTTTATGTAAGTTCCTAGAACAACCCACTCCTGTCATTCAGACTTTTAAATAATTCAGGAAGGAAACAGTACCATAGAATTATACTGGGGTCCTGGGGCTAACCTGGCAGGCTTTCCAAAGAATGTTTTTGGCCTTCAATTGATGCAATTCATCATATTTATCTGTCTCAGAAATTTCAATAGGTTTCATCATAGAGAATCAGGATTATTAAAGATTGGGTATATCTATAAAAAAATCTCCAGAATTGGCTGGTGAGCCTGCAGCGATGTATGGATGCTGTGGGAGGAGTACTTTGAAGGATTAAATTTATGTGTTTTAATTAATAAAGTCATTTTAAATTTACAAGTTGAGTTGTGGAACTTTTTGAACCCCCCTCATAGCACTGAGATCAAAGAGACTACAAGTAGAAATTTCCTCCATACATATATCTTCATATATGTACCTTCTGAAAGGCACAGAGTTAGAAATGAAATGGGAGAGTTTATCTTCAGTCAACCCCTAACAAGTAAAAGACTCTGGAGGAAATAGAATGAAATAATGGAGGAAATTTTCTTGATACAAATAGCAGAAAATTAGGCAAAAGATTTGCACAAAAAGGACATGTCACAATATGACCTGATAAGCATAATTACCAGTGAAACTCTATCCACTTATGAGGTTCTTTCTAACACTACTGATACATATAGGAGAGAAAAATTCATAATGCATTACCTCTGACTGGTTCAGTTGAGATTGGTTCTGTCAATACTGGTGTTGGCTGTGGTGGTGGGAATCTTGGACCAGAAGAAAATCCCCTAGGTTCGAAAGGTCTTTGTCCTGAGAAGTGACCCCTTGGCCCTGAGTCTAATGTACCATGCTGTGGTCTCATGCCAGGAGGACCCATCAGAGGCCTTGGAGCATTCAACAGGGGCTGACGCAGAGAGTCGTTAGGAAATCTTGGACCAGAAAAACCCTGATTGCCTCTCAGCCATGGTCGTTCATCATGTGGTTGATTTGGACCACACCATCTATCACCTTGAGGAGGGAAGTCCCTTGGAGACTCTTCCGAAGAACCTCTAGGGGGATCATTTGCAGAAAATGAAGCTGACGAATCATCAGGTCCAAATGGTCGACGTGATGTCCAATCATCCATCGGTCTTGGTGCAGGGAATGATTTAGGGGGATTCCGTTGATCTGGTTGCATATCATTGGAACCTCTTTGATCAAATGGTAAAGGGTTCAGTCTAGGTGGTCTCTGTCCTCTAAAATCTGGGTGGAAATCTCTCCTGAAGTCATTCTTAGGAAACCTAAGAGAATCTTCACCTAATCTATTATGACTGAAAGAATCACTTTCAAGATCATGTGGAGGAAAATTCCTGCTCTGTGCATCAAAGGAACCAGGCCCTCTGCTTTGACCATGAGAGTTCTCCAGCCCAGGAGGGCCACGTCTCATGAAGTCTTCTGTTGGATGTGGTGGTCCATGGCTCATAAAATCATTAGAGAATCCAGGTCTGGGGAATTCATTTGGCGGCCGTCTCATGAAGTCATCTGGGGGTCCACGTCCCATAAAGTCATCTGGAGGACCATTTCTTCTGAAGTCAGCTGGTGGCCCACCTCTTTGGAAATCATCTGATGTGTCACATCTCATATTTTCACCATCTAGGCCACTATTAGGCTCAAAGCCATCAGACAGTTGTCCCCTGCCAAATTCTGAATGTCCCTTGTGTTCAAAACTTGGTGGAGGCCCACCTCGGCCAAAACCTGAAGGACCACCCCGGCCAAAACCAGGAGGGCCACCTCGATCAAAACCAGGAGGACCGCCTCGGCCAAAACCAGGAGGACCGCCTCGACCAAACCCAGGAGGACCACCTCGATCAAAACCTGGACCACCTCGGCCAAAACCAGAAGGCCCACCTCGACCAAACCCAGGAGGACCACCTCGGTTAAAACCAGGACCACCTCGACTAAAGCCTGATGGGCCACCTCGGCCAAAACCAGGTCCATTTCTTTGAATATCAGGAGGCACATCTTGATCTACATCAGAGTGAGGTCCACATTGGCCAAAGTTTTGAGGACCATCTCGTCCCAAACCAGGAGGGCCACTACTGTAGCCTCGAGGAACTCTTCCAAAATCAGGTGGAGGTCCTTCTCGATCAAAGCCCAAGAAGGATGCATCTCGACCAAATTCTTGTGGGCATTCTCTCCTATTGAAATCCTTGTCATCAAGTCTGCCTTCAGAATAATCACCTTCAAAGCCTCCTTGAGATCTCTCCCTCCCCCAAGTGTCTTTGTCCTGGGGATGTGGGGATGGTCTAATGCCAGAGAAATTTGGTGGCCTGTCTCCTTGGAATGGGGGCTCCCTTGATTCAAAATCAAGGTTTGAAAACTGAGGTGGCCTTCTTATAAGTTCTGGGTTATCTTCAGAAAATCTAGAAGCCCTAATGTCCTTGTGTCTGTCATTAGGTCCACTGAATGGAACTCCAGCACCCCTGGATGTTGTGTGCATATCCTGACTTGGAGGGAATTGAGGCCTTGGGCCCTGAAAACTTCCAGCATTGAATGGAGGTCGTAGTCCAGGTAGTCTATCACCTGTTCCTCCATGAGGTAGTCTCATGCCATTAAAAGATGTCTCAGCACCCATAGGTGGTCTTGGTTGTCTTAGGTTTGTAGCAGGTGCTGAAAATGATGGCCTTATATCTCTGGAAGGCCCATGAGGTGGCACTGCAGAATGACTTTGATCTTGTCCCTGTATCTGAAATTGGTTGCTACCAGATGTTTCAAAATTCCAAGGCTCTTGAGGATAGTTTGAACCAACAGTTGGAAATCTGGGAGACTGCCTGGTTCCAGGACCAGAGTACATGGATGGAGGTCCTATTGTTGTACTATTCTCTGAAGATTCATAAGGGAAGTTGCTTCCTCGTCCATATTCTACCATGCCACCTTGCTGCTCATGCATTCCAGAGCCTGAATATGACCACTCAGTAGTGTCCTGTTGCATTAGTGCATCAGTTCCTGCAGAAGAGAGAGACGGTGTTGTCTGTTGTACCCCCATTGGAATATAAGGTGCAGGCACAGATGGAAATAATGGAGGAGGTGCACTTTGGTTCCCGATGGCACTATACTGTTGGATGTTACTTGGAGCCCCAGCTGGGAATAACTGAGATGATGGAAGCCCATTGGCAGGACAGAAGTTTTGAGCACTGGTGTGAGCAAAGGGATTATATACAGATGCACCAAGATTATGCTGATCCCCAAAAACAAGACTAGCTGAATGTTCAGTTGAGTGAGTTTGTATATCAAACATTTGCTGACTATCAGCATGACTTTGGCTGGCAGTGTTCTCTTGAGAAAACTCTGCAGCTGCTTCCTGCTCATCCTTTGCAAGCTGTTCTTCAAGCATTTTTCTTTTTGCCTCCAACTGTCCCTTCCATGTGCTCCACTGTTGTTCATAATCTTTGTATTCCTTCTGCAAGGTCAAAGTAAGAAAAGGGGGAAAAATATGTAAATGTATTAAAATGGAAAGTGAAATAGAATGTAACCTTTTTCACTTACAGTATGGGAATGCTGCTTGTTACCCTCCTTCCACTTCTGGAAGTCACTCTCCCACCTGGTAAATTGATCACCAAATTGTTTCAGGAGTTCCTAATAGGAAGAAAATGAGAGACTATTATATAAAAACTGAACCACACACAGACAGATTTGACAATAATTAGAAGAGCAAAATCAAGTGATCTCCAAACAGATGATGGTTTACTTTTGTTTGTATTAATTTCTTAGCTGCAGCTCCATCCTTCTTCTTCTTGTGTTCTGAAGGAGGCGGAGGAGGTGGAGGTTTATCCTTTTCAGGAGGTGGGGGTGGAGGTGGGGGTGGGTTTGAATTTGACATAGGCACTCCTGATGTGGAGTATCCTCCCTGAAAGAGAATGAGACATTTGGTTCACTTCAAGTTGATAACTCATTCACCACCGCCAAGGATTTCTGGTAATCACAGAAACCAATACATTTTATGTACTTGGAAATAAACAACAAATAAACAAGCAAAGCTGCATTTCAGCTACCGAAATAAGGCCAAATTCAGGTTCTACAAACCTGATTTTGAAGGGTAATTGGCTGCTGAGGCATTCCAGCTGGCCATTGAGACATCCATGTCATGTTGCCCATGCCATAAGGGTTCTACAAATGCAAGACCAAAACGGAGAATGAGACAACCAAAAACCACATAAAACTGAGCAGAATGATACATAAGGGAGGGGAAGCAATATGACTCAGTCATCCACCTCCCTTTCAACATTCTTATCATTTTGCATGGTCATCTGCTGACTAGGCCTTCTATATATGAGTTGCTTCAAATACTGATTCCCATCTTTCTCTGTAAACCTCACCCCATGAGCACAGCCAAGAGAAATTTAAAAATCAAAAAAGTATGGAAGCTTTTCCAATGCATTCATAAGGTACTGTAATGTCACATCAGCCACCTATGTATTCACCAAGCAAGAATCGTTATGTTTCATAATAATGTTAGAGCCAAATATAAAAATATTAACACTTTTCATTTAAGCTGACAGCTAAACTGCAACAAGCCCTTGAACAAAATCTTTTGCATAAGTTGTCACTCACAAATTGAATAAAGAATTAGGAGTATATCTTATACCACCTCTATAATGGGATTCACTTGGGAATACATTAACTTTGCAAGCTAGTCAGTCTCCTTATCCATGCAAGTACAACAAAAGCAGCAACAAGGAAAGAAAGGTGCTGCAAATTAACCCTGTGATTGATTACAAATATATCATTTCTATGTTAATTAAACTTATACTCTGGCAAAGAGAAATGTATAACAGACTCATGCATACCATTGTCATAGGAGGGTAAGGTGTCATACTACTGTATGGCATTGGTGGAATAGAAGGACCCTGTGCACCAGAATAAGCAGCCATCTCCACCAACTGTTCCTGATATATTATCTTGTCAGGAATGAAACTGAAAATTGGTATCACATGGCTATCACTCTTCAGCAAAGAATGCTCCAGACTATATGTGCACCCACTTGAGGGATGCTTGTCACTTCTTGGACTTTTATCTACTTTCAAAGGAAAAACAGGAGAGACATGTTTAACTAAGAAAATATAGTGGTCAGAAGGACACAAAAAGAAAGCTATAAAAAACAAAAAGCTATCCATGGAAGATAACCTAATTTTCCTGCATGAACTGAATTGGAATTGCCTATCATCCAAATGTAAAAGAATTTCCTTTTTTCATTTCTTTTGCAGTTCCTTTTGTGCAGCCTACATAAGGCTATTTTCTATTTCTCACATCTGGACATACCTTTGGCCATGTAATTCAATCAAATAAAAACAGAAGTTCCTGAAGGCTCATGCAAAAGGCACTTATAAAGGTTTATGATAATTTAACACTTTCCTTGGCACATGCCAGCAAACATTTAGGAAAGTTGGACATCAAAACATGTCTACAACAGGGAAAGCGAATCCAATGAATCTTTCTTCTTTTTTTTTTATTTTTTACAAGAATAATCCTTTAAATTTTCTGGTACTGTAATACCTCCCTTCAAGTAATTTTTTTTCCAGAAGGGTGAATCAAACTGTAATATATAAGCAGTATTTCACTCATGGCTCTTCTTATTTTGCATAGTATTTCTCTGGATGGGATACATGTTTGGGAAATAAATAACCATTTCAATCCATGAACATTCCATGGAATGATTTCATTTTCAAGACAAGACATGCAGAAGATATACAACAGAAATAACAATATGCACAGAAAGAAAGGGAGTGTCTGCTAGAGGCACAGGCATAACTGATATGACAGTCCCTTAAGCAAGGATGCTCTTGAAGGGTTCTGCAGGAAGCCTTTGGGGGAAGCTCAAGGGTTGCAGAGTCTCATGACTGTAACAAGTGATTTTAAGGTGCAAGGTAACCATACCTTCTTGATAAGGAGAACAAAGTGGCATGTAACCCAATGCTATCTGCTGCCTCACAGGCACCAGGTCAACACCGGTTATATTTATACATGAACCTCTCCATGACATGCATACATAAAAATTATTAAAAGATGATGACAAAATGTCATCAGCTAACATATTAAGAGATTCAACAGCCCAGCAGTCAGCAGCAATTAATTTATCAGCAAGAAGCACCATTTTGCATGGATGCATCTACTTAAAGAATGAACACTATGCACTCTGTGTAACTTATTCTATCACAGGTAATCATAGGCCTAATGCTACGCTAGCCAAGTAAGTCCCAAAAAATCAGGTCATAGGCCTATTTGTTATGACACTTCCTATTAGGTTTAAATTTTTAGTTCATGAGTTATCTTCATTCATATAAGCATTTGGAGAATAGCTGTAAATGGCTTTTTCTAAGAAAATAAAAAATTGTTGATGGGCTCAATGGATGTCACTAGAAAGTAGCAAAAGCAAAAACAACCCTACAGAAAAGAAAGCCTGATACCCAACATGATTTCCATATCAAAAGAAAGTAAATGTTACCATTTCAATTCAGTTCAATCCATTTCAATGTACTTTCTTGCCCACCAATAAGAGGCAGTGTCATTCCACAAATCGTATCCAAGTGAAAATACCAGAAATGCAACTGTTTGGTGGGAAAAAAGTCATTCTTTGAGAAAACCTAATCTCATCCAAACTAGTCTTACATGCTTTTTCTAGTCCTATAAGTATATTTAACCAATCACTTCTTGCCATCTCCCAAAGGCACATTATGTAAGTGTTTGGACAAAAGTACCAATGTAGTACTTTTATATAATCTACCTTCTTGATCTTCCCATTGAATGGGCTGTGCAAGGAGATCTAAGTCAGAATGCCATACAAAGCAGAGCACCTACTCTTACATCTTTCTCCAACAACTTATAGACTATTTCATGCAGCAGTAACCTGTAACATCCTTCCAACCAGATATTGAATAAAGCATGGGTTCACAACATATGGCCCACTGGTAATCGTGTCAGGTGTGAACTACAGCTTACTGCATGGTGTGTCGCATGTGATCTTGTCCCCCCAATTAGTCGTTTGCCCACCCTTTGCGGGTAATACTGTGGTATAGTATGTATCCACTTAAGAATTACTGTCAACTTTGGCACAATCACCTCTCAGGTGCATACGCAGGACTTTAGGAAGGGCTTAATATTAAGACTGCTGAATTACGCCAGGAGAGGGGGGGGGGAGGGGGATCATTGTCAGGTGCCAAGCCCCTGGCAACCCCGAGTCCATGATTTTCATATGTGAGCCCCTGAGAGATGGTCATGCCAAAGTTTAAAATAATCCATAAGTGGACACATACTATATATACTGTAACATCCTTTGCTTTGCCTTTCACCTTTTCAGTGTCATTTGAAGCCCTTTCACCTTACACTTCGAGTCTAAGTATAGAGCTGTGTACATGGTGTGGCTTGACAAACTTGCCTTGTTGGCGAACGAAGCGTCCCATGTTAGCTGAATCAGTGTAGCCAATTTACTTGATCAGAGAAGCTCATAGAGAAGCTGTGGTCCGAGCTGAAGCTTAAGGTCCTGCGCAAAATGCAGGTACCTCCCACCAGCTTATCTCCCAGTAACTAATATAGGTGTGGTGGCAGAGTTTGAACCAACATCCGAAGACTTTAGAAGGCTTCATCCATGACTTAAAGACCACTGTGGATCGAGGGTCTTGCATTTAGTGACAAGGGCTCCATCTTTGGCCAGCTATTTTTAGGTGACTGTACTTCACTTATTGTTTTTATATGCAGGTTTTGTGTTTAAAATCAATGATGAAATATTCCTAACCACCTTTCGACAATAGCATCCACGCTTACTTGCTTGTAGATCACAGGCAGACAGACAGACAGACAAGCTGAATAAAGGAGCATGAGCAAGACCAATGCATAGAATTACCAGAAGAGAAAAATAGATTCCTTACATCAGGGAACATATACACATCTGAAACACCATGCAAATTATCAAGTAGTGCAAAGGGCAATTTACATAAACAGGGAATGACCAATAAATAAAATGAGTCATTGAGAGGCAACAAAGAGAAGGAATACATTGAAGAAAGAATACATTTGAGGGAGGACCAAAGTAGAAATAATAATTTTTTAAGGAGTTAAATGAAATGGAGGAGTTCCAGACAAAATGCATAGGTGCATATAATAGAGAGGCCTTCGTCCAGTAGTCAACAGAAAATTGCTGATGACAAATAATTGCATGATTTCCTTCAATATTGGTGCAATTCATGCTGATTTTAAAGTTACACTCATAATAAACTCAGAGATGAATGAATGAACCCATTATATACCAGTCATTAATGTCAAAAAAAACTATCGAAAAATGACATAACAGTCTAAAACCATTACTTGGTACCTACTATGGAATGTTCAATGACCTCAGTTGAAACCAAAAGGGTATTGCTTGAATTTTCAACTGGGTCTAACTGGGATTCAGGACTAACTCTTAACAGTGCCAACTGTGAAATGTGTAGAATCTCCAATTATAAATTGCACTGTAACTAATATCAAATCAAGTTGGACTCTATAGTCAGAATGAGTGGCTATGGGAGAAACAAGAGCAGTGCACCTATTCTACAAACATGTACAATAACAGCAGGAGAGTGGAGATGGATTGCAGGGAGTGGGACATAGAGGGGAGAAACAGGTGACTGCTGGATGTACCTTTGCATTTACTTTGCATGGTGAAGTGGGTGTTCCCTATGTATAGTATTCATAAGACAAGCAAAAGGACCAGGCCAGGCATTGTACACCTTGCACACACCCCCAGAGCCCCACGCAAACAGTGTTCACATGCATAGTACATATTGCACACACTAAGTAAAGTCCACCATGACACAAGCAAGGAAGTTGTCATTTCAAGTTTGAAGCATAAAGACCTAATATAAAAAAGCCATGAAGTGGGATGGCTTTGATTTAGTCGAAGGTGCCACCATGCAATTGTTATGTGAAGGGGGGGGGGGGCATCATAATCATCCGCATCCCAGCAAAATTGTTGGGGCCATTTTCACTACCATTGTAAAATGCTACACGGGCACAGCTTTCCTGTCCCAACCCACAGTTCTTGAGCAATCATTTGAGCCAATTTCCTTGCATTTCCCTTGTGTCCTCCAATTCCGTTCTTCATGACAAGCTTAAAGCTCGCTTGCCATACTATTTTATGCATTCGCATTTTGCCAGCAGTGTTATAAGCTATGCTTTCTTCCTGCAGTGGGAGAGGGCTGAAACAAATCCAAACATATTCTAAATGTGTTGGTTGGTTTTCATGATTTGACATCTAGGTCTCACCAGGGCATGGGAGGTCAGGCAGACATGAGAAGCACTCTGGCATCATAGGAGAAGACAAGTGTGATGGTATGCATAGGTGGGTGCAAGACATACTCTGGGTGAGGGGGGGTGTGTACAAGATGTATTATGCCCACAAGGCCTACTCTAATCTCACATGCTCTCTTCCCCTTAAAAGCAAGGGGAAAATAAAACTAAATTCAGTTGAAAATATAGGAAATATAGGTCATGGAAAATATAGGAGGGTGGATGAAAGAGAGTCCCCTTATCCTTATTTTAATTCAGGGCTGCAAGACTTGGATCAAGAATCAATTGTAAAGTTAAGCCCCAATTGTTAGGTAATGAGATGAATCAGGCTGATTTAAACGGGATATTACCAACTCTGCCACTAACTGACAAGCCAAGTTTTGATTATCACTGTACAATACTTGAGGAAAGAAATGGATAAGTTAAATTGAAAAATTACTTTTCTCTCAAGGTGTGATGTGCAACCCAAGCCTCTGCACTTTCACATAAACAGGAGGCCTAGATCTAGTTTTCAAAAAAATTTAAAATGAGACTACAGAAGCATCAGCCTAAACACAGATCTAATTCTAACGTTAGTCAACCAATTTAAAAACTAATGTATTCAATCATTTATGCTGTACATCGTTATTTCTATGGCGCATTCAAGGAGGTAAAGGTATACTTCTAATGATGGATATGACAGGCTCATGTTATAGATGGTACGAATTCATTTGCAAGCTACTGCAGAGTGGCTACGCCTAACGTTAGACCTTTCACAGGTGTACGTCTAGA